TAAAGTCGTCTGGTTAGATAATTTCATGTAAGTAATTAAATTGGAATTTCCTTAATTTAGATTATATTGTATAGATAAAATTTAAGATGTACGACATTTTACTTTTATCTAAAATATAGCTATTTTCATTTTACTTCATATTGATATTGGTTACTGTATTTAGATTCTACTTGTATTGTTATTTGCTTTAATCGGATAAAGTAAGTTGTAATTCATCAAACTATTGTTTCTTTTGTCGACATGTTGTTTTCTTTCTATGGGCCTTTAGTCCGGTCGCCAAACCCAATATTTCGAGTGAACCCGGAAATTGTCTACAAACTTTTTTTATGATTGATTTTAGTAGCCTATGGTGTCCTCTTTCATAATCTGGCGGGGGAACCTCGGTCATCCTTGAGCGTTTTGAGAAATTCAAGATGGCGTCCAGGACGGCCACCATTTTAAATAATCCCCTATAACTCCCATAATATTTAGTCTAGGATGATAATTTTGGTGTCTAAACGTATGTTCCAGTGGACACTAGCTGTTTTTTGAACATTTAAAAAACCAAATTCTACCCACAAAACACGAAAATAACCGCTACACAACTAGGCAATATTCAGTGTAATCCTTTGGTCGTGTTTCTGCTGCAACCTACGACAGTACAAGCGCGAAATACTGTACATTCTAAGCCACCTTAGTGCATCTACAAGCAAGCATACTGCATGGGGTGCCACTCTTGGATCCGCATCTGATGAGCCACATGACAGATCCCGTAGCAAGTTGGCCGGTTGTAATGTTCTCAATTTAGTATTTTTCACCAAGCGATACAGTTCCGGATCAAGTTCCGATGGAATACCATCTTCCTGCAAACACCACACAATAGCTCAGCGATTTCTTTTTACGTTCCTTGCAACTGCATCATTCATTGAGCAAGACTACGTGGTTTGGGTGGGGAAGATGACGATACATTTCCAGTTTTGGATGCCCATACCCACCAAAATTATCATCTAGACAAAATACTATGGGAGTTATAGGGGATTATTTGAAATGGCGGCCGTCTTGATCGCCGTCTTGAATTTCTCAAAACACTCAAGAGTGACCCAGGTTCACCCCGCAGATTCTGAAAGCGGACACCCTAGGCTACTAAGATCTATCATAAAAGTAACTTCGTATACAATTTCCAGGTTCAGCCAGAGTTCTGCCGGACTAGTTTGGTTGTATCCGAGTAAGTACTAAGCAGACGTTTTTTTTTTCTTTCATTTTAATACCTTGTTTACTACATTACACTGGTAAGCTGATACCGTTGACTTATGATCTTGGGCCTTTTAGTAATGAATTTATTATCATTAAATTATACAAGTGATCATTATTCTAAACTAATGTTTGGTATGTATAGAGAGTGGTTAGAAATTATACAATAGTCATTTGAAATTAACAGGTGTGTAATTAGTTGTTTATAACAACCGGTGAATCGAAACCACCCACACCAGTTGATTCAATGACAGACCTTATGATACAACGCGCACGCGCTAACCATTCGGCCATCCGCCACCACCACCACACACCCCATACCTGAGGTATGGCATAAGCGATGTACATATGATTTTAACAACTATATCAAAGGTATGCCCGTCTGTATTAGCCCAGTTGGGGCCAAAACTATTACCAAGTAAGTTGTTCTTAGTAGAGGTATGTGCAAGTCACTGTCAGGTGCAAGGCGAAGCCGTTCCTAGGTTGTTTAGCCTTCTGGAAGATGAGTCTGGTGTATCAATAGAAATTACATCAGAAGACCCGTATGTTGTAAGCCACCCAACAGCTGTGTGTTTAATGGGAACTAAAGACAGGGACGGTGATAGGAAAGTCTAGAAGTTCATCCCCAAATGCGCTACCTATAGGCTATACTTCAGTAGTAAAGCCGAAATGTTGTCTTTGGTGTAAACTGTGCGGGACAAATTATAATGTGAATCTGCGTGGAGATAAAACCAGTGGTTTAAAAGTTGTATTATGAATGGGGAGATTTATAGAGGCCTCCGACAAATATTTAGTTGATCGAAATGTTTTCAATCTTCAGTTGGTTCCACCATAAGTATATCTTGTTTACATTGCCAAATTACAAGTCAACCATATTTATCCGAAACGAAATTTGCAGCTATGTGAATTTTCTTATATAATATAAATATAATCTACCCATTCAATTTCAATAGCTAGAAGTATACCTCGTGATTTGACGGACATATACCTTCATTTGATTATAATTTTCAAAGCATGGGGTAAAGATCGTTACTTGACTATAATAGTTTATATTTAATGCATGTATTTTCATTTTCTGTTTTTAGTCAACACTTGGGTTCCATCTGGGTTTTTTTGCGGAATCAATAACTGATGGCTTTGGTTTGCTTAATGGTTATTGAGGTATGTTATTTTCCTTGAATCACCTCCAACTTTATTCTTCCTTGTGTATTCTTCATGATGTTGATGAACAAACATCTTTAATTTTTTGTTGCGAATGTTGTTATTAACTGATATTATCTATCTAGTTAAATAAAATCAGGTGTGTATGTGTGCAGGTGTGTATGTGTGTCTGTGTGTGTAGGGGTGTATGCTCGACCATCACGCTTCGTCGCCGCGCACCACCCCCATAAACCAGCGTGACCCTGTGAATGTTTAAGACCATCGAATTTGGGCCCCGGTGAAATGGACCTGAGCTCCGGGTGAAATGGGTCTGAGCCCCGGGCGAATCACGCTTCGTCGCCGCGCTCCACCCCCTCATGTGTGTTATCAATAATGATCCCGTGAATGTTTTGGGCCATCGACTTTGAGTCCCCCTTAGCAAAAAGTCCCACAGAATACCAGTGTAGAATTCTATAGAAAATCTTTAGAGTTTTTTTTTGGGGGGGGGGGGCGTGTCCCATTTTCAAAAGGATAAAATTCTATAGTATTCTACAGAATTTTGGGGGCCTGTAGGAAATAACGGCCCCAAATATTCTACAGTTTCTGTAGCGCACATCCTATACTTTTTCCTACAGATTTATGGCAAAATTTCTATAGGAAAATACTATAGTATTCTATAGGTTTTTTATTGCACTTTCTGTGGGAAATTCTACAGTAATGTATAGGAATGAACACTGTAGTATTCTGTAGTTTGGAAATTGGGCTACTATAGTTTTCTGTAGGAATGGGTACTATAGAATTCTATAGACTTTTTTTTATTAAATCTTATTTTGGGAATAAATATAGGTGGCCCATGATTTCTTCTAAATTGATAAGCTTATTTTTCTCTCATGGATTTATTTTTCTCTCATGGATTCTTCTAAATTGATAAGCTTATTTTTTCTCTCATGGATTAATCTGAATTCTGTTGATGATTCACCAGCTGTAACCATGAAAAGTTCTTTTCTTGGTAAAACTGAAATATAGGGAAAAGAATAGGTAATAAAGTTAAATAAATAACAAAATCACATAAATCTTATCTAATTAAAGTAATTTAACATTGTTAAGTAAGTAATAAAGTATACTTTATTTCATTCATATTATATACACTATTTTATACTTTATATATTATTTTTCGTGTTAAACTTATTTTAGTTTGTCATTTGGTAACACAATAAATTAAGGAAAACTGCATCCAGGAAAATTATGTTCGAAAAGTTTACATAATTCAAACAAGTGCATCACTAAATTTTATTGTAAACTATAGTATGAATAAAAGACATCGCCAATTTATGAAATCTGTAGTATAGAACATTGTTTCTACAATATTATGTAGGAAACTATAGTAGGCTATTTGTTAAAATGGTTTAAGTACAGTATACATATAAATTCTACAGAAAACTATAGAAGGCTCATACATTATCTTTTTCCCCTTAGTTTTCTACAGAATGTCATAGACAACTATAGGAATAAACTACTGACTTGAGACAATAAGTTAGTTTTATAGAAAACTATAGCTTTTACCACCAAATCTATAGGAATCACAGCTGACATGAGAATACAAGTAAGTTCTATAGCAAACTATAGTTTTTAGCACAAAGGCTATAGAAAACTGAAGGATTACTCGAGGATACAAGTTAGTTCTATAAAAAACTATAGCAGCACTAATGAATCTGTAGGTTTATTTTTTTCCAATAGTTTCTTACAGTATTCTATAGAATTCTATAGGAAATTACACTTGGAAAATATTCATCTACCAATCCCACACAAAACTATAGTACATGTTTTTGAATCTATAGTCATGAAAAAAAAAAATACAGAATGAATTCGTTTTCCTGCAGCATTCTATAGCATTCTATAGAATCCCACAAACTTCTATAGAAACCTGTACTTTTTCTATAGGACTTTTTCATAAGGGCTTGGCGAATTGGACACCTGGCAAATTCGGACCACGGGCGATTTGGGGCACGGGCGAATTTGGGCTCCCCACGAATTCGGTTCCGTGCGAATTTCAGACCTGAGCGAAGCCGGGTATCTTGCTAGTATGTAATAATAAAGTGTCGATAACATCCATTCGAAGCGTACTCTATAACCGCATTACTGCATTTAAAATCGTTATATAACGTTGAACCCGTACACATGAAATACAGCAAATTGCTTCTATGTTCGAGTCAATTCATACAACATAGACATAGATACTATAATTGCTCCCATATGGCTATAAACGGGCCTGCTTATCTTCGTGCAGTTTCACAAGCCGAGTTGTCTTTACAAAAGTTATAACTCAGCATGCTTCAGACTCAACGGTTGATAGCGAGACATGCGTGGAGAATAGAAAGTATAGTTAGATCTATATTTAGAACATCAGTTGGAAAACACCTTTCTATTAAAAGATACACATAATTATAAAGCGCTTGATCAGAGAAATTTGGTCACAATTTTAAGGTTCATAATACATGGATTTCTAAATATGAAAAACTGTGCTTAATATTATTAACTCTCTTTATAGAATTATGTAACATATAACAAATGTGCTACAGAGAAGTTTTACGTCTGTTGCGCCACATAGGTTAGCGAAGAACTCCGAATGCAGTCGCTTTTAACCTCGGTGCGGTGAGATGGGTCACAACAGCGTGGGAAACAGCATCTTTAATACAAGACTTGATCTCGCTTTAACTCCGTACATTGTATCAAGGGTTGTACAACTCGCGACCGTTGCTTTAGAAACAGGAGGTAACAGCACTTGGCAAACCTCAGCAGATTCCAGTACCCTACATCTAGCCTCGGCTGTATGACGAGGTCCGCATTGGAACTACTTTCAAGTTCCCGGATTTACCAACGGCGTTGCCCATGACGACGCCTTTGAAGAATGTTTTATCATACAAATATTTCAAAGCCTGAATCTGTTTTTCTTTCAAGTTTATCCGATTTTCTTCATACAAGGAGAACTTGGCACTGAAAATTCTAAACACGCTTCGAACGATGCAATTTTGATAACTTCTTTTTAAAAGCGGCAAGTTTTCCTAATAGTAAACCGGAGCCGCATCGCAATTGTATAGGCGTAGGTACATATCATTTACCGTCATACAGCCGAGGCTTGATGTAGAGTAACGGAATCCGCCGAGATTTGCCGAGTGGAGGTGACAGGAGAGACAAAATCACAAACTTCTCCGCAGTAAATAATCGCTCTGGAAAATCTATGTCATCCCACTAAATTTAAACATTATGGAAAAACCCATACTATTTCTACGTGTGCATCATTACGTCCTTAGGTAACCTACCAGTTTAACAGACCAGGAAGTATTTGGACCTTCTTAATATGTAAGTAACATTTTAGCCCAATAGATTTTACGATTTGGTAAATGTAAATCATAATAATAATAATAATAATTTAAATATATTCAGTTTAAACCGGATAGTCAAATGATAACTTCTGCATACCACTGAAATCTTATATTATGTAAGCTAAGGATTCTTGTGAAGATTGGAATTATAGAAACCTCATCCATAAATCTCCCAACTTTATGTTTTGACCTTCGAAGAACACGATTCAGAGTTTTCGGTTCTCTTCTCTTTTTTATCAGACATATCTCAGTTATCAATCCTGTATCAGTATTTTATTCAAAGTTTTCCATATTTTAAGCAAAACATATAATAGGTAATGGCGGACTAACATGGTATACTATTCGTTCAATAATTTGCTTTCATACGGCCTTTAGAACAGGGAGTAAATAGAAGAAACCTCATGAGAAGAGTCGGACCCTGAAGGGGGTGGTAGCGCCCCCAACCCCTCCCACTCAGCTACATAAAAAATTGTGGGATGGGATGGACATTCAAAGCGCGAGATAATGATATAGACATAATGATATAGACAATAAATGTGTTTGTAAAATTGACAGTTGCTTTAGGTTTAACAGCATCACGAAGGCAAACAATCTTATTTGCATTTTGCATACTTTATAGTATTATTGGCTGGAATTATTTTTAGATCGATAACCATGAATGATCAACATCAGTGACAGATTTTGGCGAGGGCAACAGGGGCAAATGCCTCGGGGCCCAGCGATTTGGTGACAAAAGAAATATATTTTTTATATTTTGTAGAAAGAAAATATGAACACCCATTTCCCAAAAATAGTGAAACATAGTGGTCCAGTAGCTAAGCTGCCCTGGGGCCCGGCGACCTCAGGATCCGTCACTGATCAACATGTAGTACGTACCGTGTATAGAGTACTGATAGAGTAGCATGCTATATGGCAGACGATAGGAATGTAAATAGGATAAACCATTTATACTGTGTAATTGTCCTGCAATAGATAGCATATGTTTGGTTGTCAAATGCGTAGAAACAGAGCACCAAAGTAAATAATAGTGGATTAGCGAGATGACCTGTGGTTCCGTGAAAGAATTTAAAGGGACTATCCCGATTTGAACAGAGTTTCAAAAATAAAAGTCCGAGTAGGTACGAAATTTAAGCGCCAAAATATAGAGGAATGGTGTATTTACCCTTTCTCAAAAGTTTAGCTCAAAATATGGAGTCGTTTGAACGTGAACGTCATAACTGCTGATCCGGACACGTTACGCTTTAGGATTTCGGGTCAATGGTTTCGTTGGGTGACCTGATAATCGATTCCCGTTTCTTTAGAGGTCTATACAGTGAATGAACCATGTGCTGTACTTGATAAAAAAAAGGTAAATTTCACCTACACATTAGATAGGTTAACAGCATTTCTTTTTGTAATTTTGCCGTTAAACTACCATTTCATATTTATTCTTTCAGAATTACAAGAAAAACGAATACCAAAAGTATGGATTAAAGTTGATCCATCATCGAGAGGTTAACGAAGGAGTACACCAAGTCAGGAGTTTGTATCATAAATACTAAAAGATCTTCAGGTCACCAATGAACCGGTCTATACAAACAAACAACAATAACGAAGACAATGGCAACCCAAATAAATATGCCCAGGGAAATGCGCAAACACGTTGCATCTATGATCAGCGAATTTAATCGATTAGGGTCTTTCTTCTTTCTGATTAACCAGTCTGGTTTTAATTATAATATTCGGTACGGGCCTATAAGACTAGCTAAACAAGGTATATTTTACCACGAAGAATATAATATTTTGATTTGTTATTTCTGTGAAAAGGAAACCGACGTAGATGAATTAAGGAGCAACTCTATAATAATTATTCTACACAAAAGCACTTGTTCTTTTAAAGATGGATCACGGGACAATTCTACAACCAATAATATACCCATCCATCATCCAGATGATGAACAATGTCAACTAATTAATAATGAACTACATGAACGATATTGTGTAAATGACAACAATTGGTTTATGTCAATATCCCAGGAAAACAGTGATCAAACATCAAGAGATGGTTTGTTTGATACGATACTGCCGATTCCTTTCAATAATTTTAATAATAATCCTTTTGATTTAGTTTCAACAAATGTTACTGATTTAACATCTAATATGAGAATAGATATTCCAGAAAGTCAACCCTTTCTGAATAATTTGTCAACGCAAAGCAACTCTGTTCCTCCCCTTCCATTGGGTCTTCCGGTACCCTGTAATCAGACTGTCGGCCAGCCAAACATCCCTTTCTATGTACCATCACGTGACAGTAATTCACCTCATCACCGTGATCCACAAGAAAGTACTGATTCTGGATTGAAGAGCGATGGTGGAGTTCCTGATCGTCCTTACTCTAAATTTACTAATAATGGGGAAGTCCTTTATAATCAGATGATGGCAAATTATCAAAACAGATTGAACACTTTCAAGAATTGGCCCCATCATTCAATTTCATCCCGCGATATGAGTAAGGCGGGTTTATATATGACAGGTAATTAAAATTTTATTCAAAAACGTTTATGATATAATTTATTAAACATGCATTATGCAAGAGCTAAATCTCCCTATTGCAGATCTTTCTTTAGGCCTGAAATGTTATCTTAACTATTAATTAGACATTAATTAACCTATCCAGACCATAATCAACTCTAAATGGCATCGCTAGCCTGCGATCTTTAGTGGATTATGAGCTGATTTACTGCATAACTTTCCTTCACGATTTAACGATTAAATGGATAATCGAGACTATGCTGTTTATCGTACTGACTTTAGTAATGATGATCAAGGCTAGCCGGAAATTTCAACCGCTTAGTTCTCGGTTCATAGTGGAACAATTTAAATGAAATTTTTCAGCAAATTGCCTTTACATTATCTAGTTTTTAACTATTATAGCGAGAACTGCCAACTCGTTATCGAATCTCCCATAATGTATGTTTAATCTTTAGTTCAAACCCCAGACCTTTACATTCACGATATTCCTTTGATATATTTAACAATCTAAAACTTAACTGTCGTTTAATATTACATTAATTGTATAGTTTAATACAAAGATAAAATTAAAATTATTCACACACGATCACGGAAATGATCAAGTTTTTCCTGTTAGTAACCAATCTGATCATTATTCAGTGAATCGTCCCGATTTTCAACTTGTCTAATTTGTTGACTTAAACGTGATAATCAAACTAGAACGCTGCAGATAGAAGCACTAAGGCCCGCCAAATTTGAAAATTGGGGATTTTCAGAAATATAATGTGTTCAGCGGTGTACTATAATTGAAAAAGGAAATTTATTCGCTACATTTAATTTTTAGAAACGATAATTTATATAGGAGAGTATTATATCTGGCTATCATCTCTCCGTATTCACACGGAGCCGAGCCAACCCGGATGGGTGACATTTAAGTAGGTCGTTAACTTTTGGCGGTCACATCTCTTCATATTAGTACCCGTCATCATTATCCAGGTTAGTACCGAAACGTAGGACGTTAAACCCCGTTTCATTCCTTCATAGCAAGACACCGAGCCAAAACATGAACAACAATAGCCATGTGTGTGACATTAAATAGATCTGAACGGGACACCATGCATGTTTCTTACAAACCGATAAGAAACACGTCATTCATTTAAAGCGTGTGATAAAAAAAAATCGTCCTTGAGTTAGAGAACATATTTATGGATTAACTGTTAAAGTTTTATTATAACATATTCGCACAAATGAACGCAGCACCTATGATTATATGGGCAGGATATGAAGTCTTTGGCGGACTAACATAAGGGTCTTTAGCAGTGGAGGGAAATGTGAAAAAATACAAGAGGTTGGACAGTCATTGTGATCTGTGGTGGGGGTTCGTGGGTTATTCGATATTGCACCCCCAAAACTTTATAAATGTATTTTACAGGTAGAGGAGACTCTGTAAAATGTTTTACTTGTGGTGTAATTTTAAAAGACTGGGATCCAACTGATGATCCTTTTACTGAACACCAAAAATGGTCGACAGGCTGCTCTTACATTGCTGAAAACTATTCTAAAAGCAAAAGTGAAAATAACGAGGTACGTTATTATTGGAAAATGTGGCGAAAATTTTTCAATAAGCTAATGATCGTGTGCAGAGCGCTTATATTGACGGAAGAAGGCGCACTTCGCCAAATTTGATTAATGTCTAGTCGGGGAATTGGATCATGTTGTTTATAGAAAGTCGACAGTGGTAACACTGCTTTATATTAAGAAATATATGAAGTAACAGCACAACTATGGTAATTCCACTTTCGACTCTTTATCAAATGGTTGGATGATAACCTGTCCGATTTCTCAGTTGGATTTGAATAGAACTTTATACTTGGTGAAATATGTTTAGTTAACAAAAAGGGTAACTGTTACTGACAAAATTCCAGCTCAGGATGAATTTAAGAGATCCGTTCTCATTTGATACAAGATGCTAAGGATTTAAAATAGAGACTCGTTCTTTTCTATCTATAAATATGAAATATTTTTAAATGTTTTTAAAACTAGATATATGTTTATCTTTATTATAGAAAAAAACTAAACTTGAAACCTTGTACCCATCGGGTAAGTTTTATTTATTTATTTATTTATTTATTTATTTATTTATTTTTGATAAGAGAATCTTTGTCGAAACGCCATGCTTTATAATATATATGCACAAACCAGTGGTTGTTTTCCATATAACTCGAATTATATGTACATCTAATATAGAATAGGTTATACCCGAATGTCCCATTTTAAATAAGTATATTATTAATGCTGACTCTACGAAAACATTGATATTGTTGTCACGAGAAAACCATAAATATAAAACAAACATTGTGAGTGGGTAGATGACCGTCATAGCCAAGATTATATTGGTGACAGCCATTATCACATATGTGATAGAACTGGTTAATCACGTCCCAATATAATTTTAGAAATAGCCCGCGAATTCCCTTGTTTTTATTCATTCTATGATATACTTAATAAAAGCATAGTAACGCACCGACATATTCTATTTTTTTCGTGTTCTCTAATCTTGTGACAGTCAATTCTTTTTATAAATTGTCAGATATCCTCTCACAGTTTCGTATAACAACTTTTGGTCTTCGAAACTCGTGTTTTTCTTTTGCTTTCGTCATTTCCATTTCTTCAAATCTTCATTACTCATCTATCGTAGCAATGATGTCTGTGTTAAAATAATTCCATATTTTACATATTCCTGAAGCAATGACCCGAGAAATCCATCTCTGGGATACTGTTTAATCAACGAAACATTTAATTGTCAGCGGTATGATATTTAGAGTGGCGTCATTTTGTAAACTTATTTAGAGTAGGAAAAACTTATATATAATTTGTTATCCATAGTCTATTTATTTTCATTTTAACTTCACGGTAATTCCAGTTAAAATACTAATTTGCGATTACATTCATTTTTAACAATGTTAAATAATTTATCTCTTTTTTATCCACAGCTACTGGTACTAATACTATGCCATTATCAGTTCTAACTTCTACAGGTAAAATAACATTACTGTATATTATACATAGTTCAATATACTAATTTGTAATTGCACGCATTTTTAACGGTGTAGATACCAGATCAATTGAGTCAGGCTTGTATTCGCAGTAAGAAAGAAGCGGGCAACCTCTTATTTACTTACAAATAAGATCCAACTTTTCAAAACCGTTACTAACCTACAAGAAATATAGTTTGAACGGTTTGAGCTGTAATTATGTTAACAAAGCAACCATAGATTATTATTTTCTGACAGGTTCCTGGATTTTAAACAATTTTGTTCACTTATATCGACGTTAATAGATTATGGAATTTAGAGTTTTGTTGTTAACAAATAATATATTCTTGTCCTCTTTTCACTGCAATTTAAATGATAATGTACATGTCCATTGTAATGCTGTCTGATTTATATTCTATTTAATTATTATTTAAGAAGACCTTATTCTGTACATTAATTTACAGTAAGACATTGGCTCATCTATATGCTAAGTTAAGTGGTAGATTTCAATAAGTCTTTATATTATTTGAATAAATTGCTTCCTTTTTTTTCAGAAGCCGAATCGTTGAGGGAAGAAAATGAAAAACTGAAAAATGAAACAACTTGTAGAATATGTTTAGATAACCCAGCTGAGATATTGACCTTACCCTGTGCCCATATATCGTGTTGTGCTACATGTGCCGCACCATTGAAAAAATGTCCAATATGTAGACGAGTAATACAAGGAACCGTGAAAATATTTTTATCGTGAAACAAATTTGATGGAAATATACCATTTAAGGCTTACCACAAAAATGATGGTTGGTATATTTATAGGTTAATTATAAAAAGACCATCTCATACTGACCTAGTGTTATATGATATGTTTATATGGATGTTTGTTGATGGGAAATAATGTAATTTATTTATATTGCGGGTATTAATTTATTTTACTGTGGAAAATCATTTCTTTTCACACAGTATTGGGCCTATTCATGATTAAATGTATTGGTTTCCTTGAAGATTTCCTTATAAATTCATTGCCCGCAGCATAGCCGTATGATTCTTTTGGGGGTTCACTTGGAGTTATTATAATGTTATAGTGTATCTTTGTATATATGTTTAATAATATTAATTAATTTTGGTTAAAGTAGCAACCGACCAATGTCCTAATCGATATCTCACTAATATGTAAGGATTTTTACTGTTTGAATTTATACTTAATGTAACGATATATATTACGTAATTATAGTTGACACTGGTTCTTCTTTATTTACGCACATGTTTGCTATTTTTAAATAGCAAACATGTGCATAAATACAGAATTTTCTTATCCAATATTATAATTTAATCCTAAGCTTGTATATATGTTCTGCATTCTACTAGCTGTAACTCGCGCTTATTGTGGTTAATCGTTTATTAAAAGTATGATTTTAATAATTTATATGGGTTTTCGTCGTTAGTGTTGGCAAACCCCAAAAAAACAGTACTACGGCAATAAAACGTGATTTTTGTGTAAGAACACACATTATCCATCCAGCTGGGTAAACTAGAATACAAGGATAAAGTCTCGTGGATGAGCCTATAAAACACAAACTAGGTCATTTCGTGACCAACACATTGTTCAATTTTATTTCAATAAAAGTGTGTGTGTGTGTTGGGGGGGGGGGGGGCGTTTACGCACCTGATTTGTTTATGTTCTTTTTCACTTAAGCTAAATCAATATAAAAATTTTAATTTTATGCGTTTCACGAAGATCGATTGTAATTTAAAATGCAATTTTAATACATATTAGTTGAAATTGCTTGCGCCCGCGATTGACTATCGCTCTTCGTTTTCTCTCTACAGCCACAGGAAAAACAACCTCCATTCTATTGTCATATATGAATCCTAAAGGACTATATTGCTATTTAGACAGAACAGTCCACTGGGCCTAACGTGTGTATTCGATACATTTCATCTTTTCTTACGATAGTTTAACAAAATAAAATGTACCGTTTACCCGTTTAAACCTGCGTAAGAGCTATACTATTGCAAATCTTTCTTTGGGCCATTAAATGTTATTATTATTAATTAGACATTTTTTTAACTTACCAAGGTCCTAACCAACCCTCGATGCCATCGAATACGTTTTGTGGTGCATGAAATAACCGTAAAAATGGATAATCGAGACTTTGTTTATTATCTTAACAACGGAGGTAATGATGATCGATTGTACGAAAAATCACGTTTTTACCTTGTGGACACTCCATGTACGTAAATAATGTTAAAGTATGTAAGGACCCTCTAGAGGTCACAATTTTGATCCGATTTTTGATAAACTTCAAAACATGTGTTTATGTCCCAACGATCTCGGTTCCTTTCGATATTCGCGCATATCGGACCGCAAGTTCTTGGATTATGGTCACTCTATAGGTCACAATTTTTATCTGATTTTACAAATCGTTTAAATATATCACCGTTACACCTTGGGTGATGACTGAGTTCGAATTTCATAAAAATTGGACTGAAACTGCCCGACAAAATGGCCGCCCCTTGAACGCAAATAGTGCAAAAGTACGTAACACCAAGGTTGTGGAGCCGCTAGAGGTCACAATTTTTGTCCAATTTTGATGAAACTTAACATATGTGTTATATCTCAAAGATCCCGGATCCTTTCGATATTCACGCATAACAGAATATTGCAGAGAAACTAAATGGGTGATAAACGTGGCTATGCACAATAGCTACAATGTAAACATTGGGTTTTCTCCGTCGCGCACGTGGAATCTTTTTTTATCATCTCTTGGAGCACACTGCAGACGAACAATATTTTCACCATCTTTTAATACATTTAATCAACTGTCCAAGGACCCCAGATCAAAGAGAATGGCTGTCATGTTACGTATTGTGTTTGAATAAACTGGATAGCAATGCGACATGTGCTTTTTTGATAAAATAAAGAATTCGTGGATTTTCTTCACAAATATGGACAAATATTATCGAATACTTTACAGTAATAATTATTGGTACAGACACGTTTATAGAATTTATATCGGAGATTTGAGTCGAAAAATTTTCGTTCTAATAGCAAGTTACAGCGACGAACAGATTTACCGATGCGAGTATCAATGTTTTCTCCCTATGCATGCAAGGGTAAACATGTTCTTGAAATCAGCACTAACAAACCCTGGGATTTTTTTTCTTTAAAAAAGGTCACCGCCGAGCGGCAGTCATGAAAATTCCCTTTATTTTACTGTACGCGGGAGAGATTTGATTGGACAACAATCTGATTAAAATACAGATCTATATTTCGTTTCGTTTTTATATACTTTCAATGTCTACACTACATGAAGATCTGACCAAATATACTGGGAGGTCGCGTCAGGGGTCATTTGACCCTATGACGTTAGACATTGATTAATCAATCAGCTTTGACGTTTCTAGGGAGGTACTTATTTACCCACAGACCGTTTTTTTGGCTAATTCCTTACATCAAATAGAACGCCTTTTATATAATAACTCTTCCAGATCCCAGTGTTGTGAAGAAAAGTAAAACGAAATTTTGAACTATTAAAAACGAAACGAAATAGGATCTGTGTTTTACTCAGATTTATTGGACAATGAGAATAAACACAAATTTTCAGTCTCAGTATAGCAATGTCTAGAGAGGGATTTCTCGGTGCATTGCTAAGGGAATATGATGAGAACGTCGCTGTGTTTGTTTTGTTAATTTTCATTTAGCCTGTCTTTATTCAGTTTCACGTTGCAAACTCCAGTTTATGTGCACCAAGTCTAAATTTACTATAGATCAGTAATCCCATATTAAACTTATACTGTATATCTACTGTGAGATGGAACAGGCACTAAAGTAGTTGACCGACATTTTGAGGCCTAAATCGACGTTTTAGTCGAAGACACTGTCAGATTGGTCGCATTTTTTCTGTTACGTCTTTTTTGTATTCCTGATTGTTTTCAAATATGAGTGAAGTCTGTGTCATGTGTCACTACAGGCCAGGGACTGTTTATTTGGTGCAGTGTATATTTTCTGTCTTGTCCGCAGGTTTATCTTGTATCTTGTATTATGTAATTTTTAAATGACTCATTTGAACATTGATTTGTAGGGCTCATTTTGGTTTGATTGAATGTGTAAGAGACTCCGGCAAACCTGCTCATTTTCTCGAAAAACCCGGCCCACTCAGCCAAAAAACCATGTTGTACGCCCCTGTATATTATACGTTTCATAACATAAAAGTAGGATACTACAATAAGTTCATGCGATAATAAAATGTTTTTGCAAGTAAAATATATATTTTATTAATACATATAAAAATTTCAAAATGGTAAAACAGTTATATTTGTAAGGGAATTCAAATTAGCTGCCAAACATACTGCCAGCGTCGAGTCTTCCAAGCGCCAGGTTCCTCTGAGCTATTGTGAGTCGTGGCATGCTGCTGACGTTGTAGCGTGAATGATTCAACCAGGTATGGTGGTGCATTTTATAGGACTGGTCCCGGTGAACAGCACGTGCAGCATGAGTTACATGAAAATCACGGAGAACACATTATGATCTCAGAAGTCAGGTTGCGTTTTTGAGAACATTTCCTGGGTTCAATTCTATGTTTGGGAAGGGGCCTTATTGCTCAGGTAAAGCTGGAGATGTGGTCACAAATATACAATAAAACATTTGGCAAGTTTTATGCAGCAATGCGTCTATTTAGAGTAAAATACCAACCTGGCGTTTCTTTTTCTGCTTAGTATATTGGTTGACAAGCATCATTGATTATTTTAATCAACCCCATGATGAAGGTAAACCCCTCTTTTTATTCTTCTTTGAAAAGTACTAATGTCTCTTTTTACAATTGTAAAATGTAGAGGCGTACCGTATGGTTTCATATATATCGTATATGAAATTAATTTTTGTTATAAGGAGAAACAATCACAAATTTATTTATTTATGTTAAAATATTTAGAGATAGACGCGTGCCATATTTCGTCAGATGTTTTTTTATAACGTGTCATTATGTATCAATTACGGTGTGCTGTAATTAAAACTGAGGTTTTAATCTTAAAGAGAATACATCTTGTACAGACACCCGAATATTTTCATTTTATCTATATTTTTCCTCTCTAGATTATTGAGCTATATTCGATACATCACACTACGGGTGTTATGTTTATGGACAATTGGCGGATCTCCCAGAGACATTTAAATAATGGTTCTCTGGAATTTTTAAACCCGTGTCTGCTTGTAGTTTTTTAAGCATTTTTCTTTGGCCAATAGGAAATTTACTGGTTTTGTTAACCTTTTGAAATGTACATTATTCGACAAACAAACAACTAAACTAAATGTCAGGTCTGGTCCTAGGTATTTTACCTATTGCCCAAAAGAAAAAAAGGCATCAAATTGTGTATACCTATAGGGATGGCCTTTCGTGACCGCGAAGCATTACACCAAATTTGAAAGTTTTAACACTCCGAAAGATTGATGTTGACCCAGAGGGTCCAAGGGAACAATTTCATACACATTTTGTGTTTGTAATGATATTTGCATTTAGATTGGGCGTGGCCGACCAATTGTGCCCTTTGAAATACTCAGAAGTGGTTTAATCCCAGCATTTTACTACGCAGAAGGATTGATATTGTCATTGGGATCACAAGGAAAATTTTGACACAGGTTTGGTGGATGTACTGGAGATGAGCAACAAAACCATTTTAGGCGGTAATGTGAACAGCTCCATTAGGTGATGTACCCAACCACCTGAATTAAATCTTCGCTAGCTCATGTCATGGACTAATATGTTCGCGTTTTCGATCCCTGCTTTGGCCGAGAAAGTTCATCATGATTTTCCGACGTGGTTTCCTCTTGTCAGTGGTGCAGGATGGAGGGCCTAACGAGGACAGCGGTCTAGTCGTTCGGATGGGACGAAAAACCGAGGTCTTGTGTATACATTGGCGTGTACGTAAAAGATCCCTTGGCAGTTGGAATTAGATATGAGTAAACCATAGTGCGGCTGTTCGGGCGAAATTTCCCTCATAGCACACTGTATGGCGTATGTCCGTCTCCATTAGCCCAGTTAAGGAGCAGAACAGTGGGACGTTAAAACCCCATTTCATTTTCATTTTTAATATCCACCTTTGAACTATTATAGCGCGAATATCCGATATGCGCGAATATCGAACGGAACAGAGATCTTTAGGTTATAAACTTACATATCAAGTTTCAACAAAATCGGATAAAAATTGTGAACTCTATAGGGTCCAAAAGCTAAAAATGCGATTTTTCGTACAATCAGGGGCCATAATCCATGAAGTTACTGTCCGATACATGCCAATATAGAAGAGAACCGAGATCTTGGGGAGATAAACCTATATTTCAAGTTTCGTTGAAATCGGATAAAAATTGTGACCTGTAGAGTGTCCACGGACGACGACAATCTACGTCTACATGAAAAAGTGAAACTAA